GGAGAGCTGAGAACAGAACCACCTCCAGTGGAGGAATGGAATCGTCCCTAGGAGAGAGAAGCAGGTTCTTTTTTAGCATTTAATTGTAATTTTCCTTCGGTATTGTTATCCCCTCATTATCCCTGAGAACTAGGTCTCCACCTCTTCCTGGTCTTAGTCACACTGCTGAGGATTCTGGGGCTAACCTGAATTCACATTTGGTTGGGCAGCCCATCCCAGTAGCTCCCCACCCTCGGAGTCTCTCTTAGAGGTCAACACAGCCCCAATAGCATCTACTTCAGAGAAAGCAGGGGTCCCAGATCATGAGGGGGTACCCAACAACAAAAGGGGAATGTCCCTATGGAGTAGAGCACAGTCAGCATTCAGGAAGGAGAACTTGTCCCATCTCCCCCAACTCCTCCCCCACTGCCAGACCCAGGAAAAACAGGTGACGTTGAAAGGGGATGCATGGGTAGGCACTGCCCAGGTTGTGGCATGTGAACCACAGGACTCTGATGTGGACATGATGTCCTTGTAGCTTCTGTCCCCAGTTCTGTGCCAGCAGACAGGACAGCGTCAGCTGACCTCCACCCTTTCCATGTAGCCAGCTGTCTTTCAAGTATCTATAGCTATTTCACTAAGACCCTCCTAGCCGTCTAGCGACCTCATGCTCATTTTTGCCCCTGCCGTAGACTAGACTGGCCTCAAACTCACAGGATCCACCTGTCTCTGTCTCCCGAATGCTGGGATTAAAGGTGTGTGCCACCATGCCTGGTTTGCTTACCCATGTTCTTATAACATTTGGTCCTACACCCCGAACAGGGATGGGAGCTCCCATCTCAGGCACAGAGCAGAACCTTCACCTTCTTGCATAAGGATAAGTGAAATTTCACTAAAGCGGTGGTTATCAAATAGTGTCTGTCTTTCCAAGGAACATCTGGCACTGACTGGGATGACTTGATTGTCACAGATAGTTGGGGTGATGAGGCTAGACAATCAGAGAACAGGCCCACCACAACAAAAGTTCCCCTGGCTCAAAATATGCACAACGTCAAGTTTGAGAAGCCCTGCGATAGAATTACATGGTAAAACGACCATATCTTTCCCATTTTGTCAGTAAAGCTGTCTTCCTGCAAGTCACTTAGCTGCTTGAAATCAGGAACATCCTATCTGATTTCTTATCTGACCCCCCTCCACCCCAGACCCTGGAGCAATGCTTCACCCATAGTTGGACCTAGCGATAAATATCTAGTAGATAGTAAGTTTTCTTCTTTATCTCCATTTCTCCATTTCTCTGTGTCTACAGGTTTTGAGGGCAGATCATATACAAGACACTTTCAAAATCTTGTATCACTTAGGCACACAACCAAATATTAACATTAGGTCTCTCTATTATTCATGCTAACCTGTCCCCAGTACATTCCTTTTTTATTTACTTTTTTATCACATTTATTTACTTTGTGTGTGTGTGTGTGTGTGTGTATGTGTGTGTGTGTGTGTGTGTGTGTGTGTATGTGTGTGTACCCTAGTGCAGAGGTCAGAGGACAACCTGTGGGAGTCTGTTCTCTCCTTCCACCACATGGGTTCCAAGAATCAAACTCAGATCATCAGGCTTGGTTGCTAGTATCTTTACTCGCTGAGCCATTTCATCCACCCCCCATCACAACTTCTAAAAACTTTTCCATATTCATGTGAGTGTTTATATTAACTTGAGTACTCTATGATGCTATAATTCCTTAGGACCATTGGAATAGAGGCCTAGGGGACTCTGGCCTCAAGGGACTTAGCTGTGATCTGGAAGGTTTCTCCATCCCCTGAAGAATAAAGTACTAACATAGGCGTAAGTCCTGTGTACCCAGGAAATGAAGTGCAAACTCCAGTTTCCTGAACATGGATCAAAATCATATTCCCCTTAGTGCCTACATGAGGGGGCCTGAGGAAAAGTCAAGGAGAAGCTCTGCCCAAACTGGGTTCCCAGGGAAAAGGCAGAGGGGAACTGAGGCACCAACAGTGTCCGGCTGCTACCCAGGCTAATTTCACACCAAGAACATCCCAGGAGGGGCTGACGTGTTTCGTTAGTTCTCTTCTGACAAAGCACCAGTGACTTTCAGGCAAATGCTACCTATATCAAGAGTCTACTTCCTTCAGTGGTCAAACCATGGTCTTAGGGCACTGTCTCCCTTCACTGATGTGCCTGTTTATCATGGTATGGAAGTAGACGGTAGGTATGAACACTGTTCTCAGATGAGAAACCACTGCCCAGGCTTCAGAGATGTATCTGGAGAGAGTACGGTGTTATTTGTGCATGTACACCCGGTACTTGGGTCCCCCCCCCACTTGATAAGTGCTCCAATGACACCCAAGTCAGACCTATAAAAAGCAACCTTCCTGGCCTTCTTCCCGGCCAGGCTGACATCACAGATTCCAGGCTGTGTGGTTGTTGTCACACCTGCTGGCACCCGCTGACAGCAGGCCACCCCCTCCTGATAGCACAGGGCTGACCCTGCAGGCTGCCAGGGGTGATACCTGCCCGCCCACGTCTGTGGCTGTCGGTGCTGCTTACTCCTTCCTGCCCTGGGCTGGAGTTTCTGCCTTTCTTTCTTCCCCACTGGGTCTGGGGATGTTGAGGATGCTAGTGACGTTTGCTTTCCTCTGTCAGAACTTCTTGCCAGAGCCTATCGGGTTGATGTTAAAGAACCCCTGAAAGATGGGAAGTGTCTTGTTCTGAGCACATGAACAAGCACAGGATTCTATGGAGGTGTGTCCCCCCGGCCCTCAGTTCCCCAGTGTTGGTGAATCCAGGGCAGAACCACAGACAGGAAGTACCCATCTAAATTAGTGAGAGGTCAAACTTGGAAGACAGTTCTGGTGCTAAAGTGCTTGCCATATAAGCACGAGGATCTGAGTTTGAGCCCTGCTCCCATATAAAAAGTTGGGTTATGGGAGTGTGTACTTATAAGCCCAGTGCGAGGGAGATGGAGACAGGAAGATCCTCAGCCTTGCTAGCCAGGCAGCCTCACCAAATCAACAAACTTAAGGTCTCACTGAGACCCTGTGGATGAGAACAGGAGGTAGAAAATGCTTAGGCAGCTTAGGGTAAAGTGGCCCCCAAAAGAAAAGTGAAGGATTTCTTTCTTGGCTAAAAGCTACAAATGTCCTTGGGCCTATCAGCAGTCTCATTCTTGCCTGAGGCCAGAGGTGCCAGAACTATCTAAGCCAAAGATATCTCTAGTTCTGCCAAAGCCAGAGGCTGGGAATGCCTGACAAGAGAGTTTGTTTTTTTCCCTTTATCTCTTTTTCCTAAAGAAACCATACAAAGGATGTGACAGAAATTTCAGGAACCTGCACACAGGAATGATAACCACACTAGCCAGCTCATCTCCCCTTCCCTTCCTTCATCCACCAAAGCCTTAAGAACTCCAAGGCAGTGAGGCTCAGCGGTCCCCCACTTCAGGAGACTCCTCCTGCTGTATAGGAGCTCTGCCTTCTTTTTCTCTCCTAGCCCCATAAAATACTTCTTTGTAAACTCACCCTCTGTGGTCTGTGAATTTCATCCTTCGAATTCATAAGACAAGAGAACCCAAAAGCTGTGGCCGGAGAGATGGCTCAGCAGTTAAGAGGATTAGGGTTAGGGTTGGGGTTAGGGCAGAAGACCCGGGTTTGATTCCCAGCACCCATGTGGCAGCTAATAACTGTCTGTAACTCAAGTTCCAAGGGATCTGACGCCCTCTTTTGATCTCCATGGGCATTGCATGACATAGATACACTTACACACATGCAGGCAATACACTCATACACATAAAAATAATTTTAAAAATTACATTTAAAATAAAAGAAGCCGAAAGCCTCTGGTTTGAGGTGGCCTGACAGTCATTGAGTTTCTGGGACCCCAGCCCCTCATAAGTACAACAGAGCCAAGAAAGGCTCTATTGCTCTCAAACACACACTAATATTCCCATATCCCTGTCTTAATAACAAGGTGGATGGCTCCTGGGAAATGATACCAAAAGTTGGCCTCTGGCCTCTACACACATGCCCAGACATGCATGCACAGATATGAATATACACACTCCTGCACATATACCCATACACTAGATAAATAAAAATTTTTTGGTCTTTTTGAGACAGGGTCTCCCTGTAGCCCCAGCTGTCCTGGAACTCACTATGTAGACCAGGCTGGCCTTGAACTCACAGAGATCCACCAGCCTCTGCCTCCCGAGTGCTGGGATTAAAGGCATGTGCCACCACACTCGGCTATAAATATTTTTTAAATGACTTAGTGAGAAGTCCCAGCTAGAAGTCATGGTTCCTTAACTACCACAGCAATATTTTTAGAGACTCATCACAGTCCAATTCTCTGTCAAGACACTGCCCACCAGATCTGCTTTAATACAATGGAAAGACAGCATACATACCACACTCCTGATGCAAGTAGTCCCTAGAGACTTGTACCTAGAGACTTGTACCACTGGAGGCTGTGTTGCCCAAGGCAGGAAGAATGTCTTCACCTAAGGATAAATTCTTTCCCTACCAGTCCACTGGAGCCATCTGACTCCTTCCTGGCCTCCAGGGCATGTAAGGTGTCTTTCTTAGGGGCCATTTGATTGCCACTGTAGAAGTGTAGGCTTCTCAGAGCCATCTAGGGCATCTACCCTAATCCCAAGGATGGCCTAATTAGAGCTTAAGAGACCTGCATGCTCCACTGTCACCTTCACATTGGCCCAGATAAGAAGGCTGCCATCTCTTGCTACCCCTTTGTCTTCAGCACACACTGCCAAGACCCAACGCTGAGGGTCGGGAACTAGCAAGGTCCCCTCTTGGCTTAAGTACATCTCCTGATGACGGTGCGGGCCCTCTGCATCTGACTTTAGCATATGGAATTGCCATCAGAGTTAGGAAGTATATGGAATTCCGGGCCCAGGCAAGTGGCCAAGGAGCTTTCTGAAGTCTCCAGTCACCCATGTGTCCATCTCTGCTCTGGCTCCAAATCCCCATAGCTCAAGGTCATGCAGGGCTCCTACCTTAACAAGGCACTGCTGGTGGCATTGGCTGGGATTCTGCTGGGCCAATAGGCCAGTGCTGGGACCCGGTGCCCACCTTCCCAGGTGGTCTGCTTGGCTGGACTTCCTCCTGTGAGGACAGGCAATTGGTTTATGGATAGCAGTAACTCTTCAGGTAAGACCTGGTCTTTGGGAAAAAAGTTCCTCTCTAACAGTGTCCAAATAGTCCCACAAAGAAATGGCACTTTTAAAACAATTTTAGAACCCAGCTACTTGCCCCCTTAGCTAATAGCTTTCAATACAGTCTTTGATTTCACTGGACTTAATGTGTGTAAACAGAGCCTTGGGTCCTCTGTTGAATTGTGTCATTTTATCCTGTTCGTGACATTCTCCCACTTTAAATTGTCACATTGTATTCCTTACTTCTCATGTGTTCCTGAATCATGGGACAATCATGTGTTCTTGAATCAGGCACAAGACATCAGACATACTAAGTGCTTAACAAATCTTTGTTGAATAAATGGATCTGTCTTCCAATTGATCATGGACCTGGCTGGTTAGGATGAAAAGCTACAATTTTAGCCAGGCCTACAATCCCAGCTCCTCAGGAAGCTGAATACTGAGGATTGAAAGTTCAAGACTTGGCTGGGCAATGGGACCCTGTCTCAAAATTTTGAAAAAAGCAGTTGGGAGCAGATCCTCAAACAACCTTAAGAGTAAAAATAAATTGTTTTAGTCTGGGCCAACTGTAAGGTTTTAAACACCCAAAAGGAAAGTATAAACAAAGATTAATGGGGTCAATATAATTTTTAAGAGTCCATATGTATAGCTAAAGGCTACATAACACAGCATAGAACTGGGAAAATGAACAGCAGACCCCAATCTTATCTAAAGGAATATTGACAACTGATTGCTGCTAGATGAGGAACAGCTGATCTTCCTAAAACAAGGCTCTCTAGATAGGTTGACTAGGTTCAGCAGGCACACAAGTTACTGGAGAATGGCTGGGGGTGTCGACAACACAGAGGACAGTAACAGGGATGACAGAGTATGTGGGCTCCAGTATGTGGGAGGGGGGAGGTGCCATTTGGGAAGTGGGTATATAGATGAATAAGATTGTGTGGGATGTTCTGTGTGATATACACACAAAAAATCAACAAAATTTTTAAAAAGACTTATATTTGAGGAGGAAGTATAGGGATTTAGCTCAGTGGTAGAGTGCTTGCCTAGCAAGCGCAAGGCCCTGGGTTCAGTCCTCAGCTCCGGAAAAAAAAAATTTTTTACTTCATGTTAAATAGTAGAGGTGATAAACGTTACCAGTGAAATCTACCTGATGACTTTATATCCATTCTCAGGTACTAAGGATCCTAGTGTAACCGACTGTGACTAGTAATCACCAGATACATAGAGATAAAAGACACATGTGCAAACATCTAAGTGTTAGTACCAGTAAAAAATGTAGGAAACAGCATATTTTAAAATGAAATGGAGATCTTCTTTAAAGGGTAAAAACTCATTCAATTTTATATCTTACAGGGTTTATACTGAATTCAATATTGTATAACTGTATTACTTGAACTGTGAACCTAAAAATTTACAACCATTTTGAAAGAGATGTATCCTTGCTCTGGAGTGTGTTACTGAATGTTAAAGCTGTAATGAAATGCTTCTTCTAATCATGTGGTTATTAAATTTAAAAAAAATTTAAATAATTCTTCAAAGCATAAAAATTTGCTCCTTAATAATTAGTAGATGTGAAAAACATCACCACTGAACTCTACCTGATAACCTTATATCCATGCTCAGATGCCAAGGAGCTCAGAAAGTGACCGACTTTGACTAGTAATAATCAGATATAGAGAGATTAGAAATGCATGTGCAAACATCTTAGTGTTAATTGCATTAAAAATGAATTTTTCTATATGAAACTGTGTTTTAATAATGAAACGGAGATTTTTTTAAAGGTTAAGACCTCATTTAATTTTATGTCTTACAGGGTTTATGCTGAGTACAATACATTAATTCATCTGTAAACCTAAACATTTATAGCCAATTTTGAAACAGATGCATCTTAGCTCTGGAAATTGTTATTGAATGTGTCAATGCTGTTATCATGAAATGCTTCTTCTAAGTACGTGGTTATTAAATAAATAATTTTTTTAAAAAAGCAGTTGGACATCGTGGCGCACGCCTTTAGTCCCACCACTCAGGAGGCAGAGGCAGGTGGATCTGTGTGAGATCAAGGCCAGCCTGGTCTACATAGTGACTCCAGGAGAGCTGGGGCTACAGAGAGACCCTGTCTCAAAAACAGAACAAAACAAAATAAAAGGTAAAAGCAGATGCCTTGGTGGGTAAAGATACTTGCCGCCAAACCTAATGGACAACCTGAGTTCTATGCCCAGAACCCACATGGTAGGAGATAACTGACTCCTACAGTTTGTCTTTGGTCTACACACACACACACACACACACACACACACACACACACACACACACGTTGTGATATACGCACACACTCCATACAAAATAAAACTGTAATTTAAATAAAAGCAAAAAAGGGTTGGAAATATAGCTCAATGCAGAACACCTAACTAGCATGCATGAGGTCCTCAGTTCAATCTCTAGTATAAATACATACATACATACACACATACACACATACATATACACATACTACAATTCTTTGAAGGAGAGCTTCCCCAGTTGTTTAATCCACCCAGTGTCCAACTGATGTAGTATGGACTGGTTTATTTTGTTTTGCTTCATTTTTCCTTGAATTAATGAACTGTTCTGATGAGTCGGTATCAGTCATAGTTTTAACCTCCTGCCTCTTTCAGGGAGGTAAGAATAACCCATGTGCAATCTATGAATTTCCACATTAACAATTAGAAGCATTGTTTTTGTAGCCAAATCAAAAGTGACCACCAATATAATGACAGCCAGTGGGCTGGAAGAGATGAGGTCATGTTTTATGGAAACATCCTGAATACACACGAATTAACCATGACCAGCCCCACCACTCCCACACACATACCCCACCCTCATCCCTGGTTGAGCCAGAGGCCAAGGATTCCACAAAGTTAGCGTGTCAGAAGGCTTTCCAAGGCAAGGGCTGTATGTGGCTCACACACACTGTGGTCATGCGACTTCCCCGTGTTTGGCTGGTGTAAATAAAAAAAGCAATTGGGTGGGGAGGCATACAGAGTAAGATGAGGGCTTCATCCCTCCGCACACACACCACCACAAACAGAACCTTTGATGTCCCTGGCCTAGTGCTCCAAACCGGAAATGCTTGGCATTCTTGGGACCAGTTCTTAACCAACTCTGGAGTCCCCCAAGTGTTGAAGTAAGAAATAGAACACAAAACAACTCCCACCGTATAGACTGTTTATATTTAAGGGTGTTGGGCTCAAGAAACCAACTGATTTCAGTCACTGTAGGCTGAACGAGATACTCTGTGACCTAGCCTAGCATTTCTCAAATGCACTCTTCCCATCTGAACATCCCCACAAATGCACACGGAATGAGGCATTCTAATCATTCAAATCCAGAACACTGGCAGAGCACAAAACTCATTTCCACATGGCTTTGAAATGCATAAATTATATTTCAGCTTATGGCCAAAAAGTCAGGAGGGAGCATTCGCCATGCTGGAAAATGGGTCTTTCCAGCCTTGGGACAGGTATTTGGTAAAGGATTGGGTATGAGTGATGGAAAGATGGAGCTTGTTTAACTAACCCTAACCCTAACCCTAACCCTAACCCTAACCCAACTCTAACCCTAACTGTACACGACAGTCTAATAGACCTGCTTAACCTTTGAGGCCAGGTTTCAAGAAGCAAGTCATTTAGAGGGCAGAAGCCGCAGGTCTGATCTCTGACAGGCAATGGGACACGGGACTTGGTCTCTGCCTCCAGGATATTTCCAGAAGGGTAACTTACCCTGCATGAATACATTTGTTAGGTGCCCTTCACCACTAAGGATTCTGTTGCTCTTTTGAGCAATCCTCTTGCAGGTGACTGACCTTCCAGATACGTTTTTCAGTGGAAACAATCATTGCGTTTGTCTTCTTCAGTAGAGGGTCAGGAGGTGAAGGGGTTAGGAGGAATTGAGTTGGTTACAAATATATGTCATTGGTTGGGGATTTAGCTCAGTGGTAGAGCACTTGCCTAGCAAGTGCAAGGCCCTGGGTTTGGTCCTCAGTTCTGGAAAAACAAAACAAAACAAAACAAAAATATATATATGTCATTAGAGTAGACGAGCCCCCTAGAAAGTTCAGGAACTAAGAGAGAAAAGGTTGGCCTAGAGAGGCCCCTCTGTGTGGCCAAGAGAGTGGGGCTGATTAGCTAATACAGCTGTACCTGGGGTTCTAATTTTATCAGAAAGACACGATTACAAATCCCAGCCACACAGATGATCCCAGACCCACGGACCTTGTACTCAAAAGGAATTTAACTTAAGAGTTCTGAGGTGGACGAGCAATTACAAAAGGAAACATTTGCCACCCATGACGTAGACACTGCTCTGCTCCAAATCCCAGTTTTCTCAGTGGTCCTGATAAAGGTAGAGAAAAAGGTCCACGCAGCATCCACTGTAGGCTTGTAGGGTGGTAGAGTGCAACTGCCAGCTGTGTGTGCTTGTCCAACAGTGTGTGGTTTATCTGTACCGGCAAAGGCCAAAGTCCAGAATAACTGCCCCTAGAGCCCCAATATTTCTCAGGGAGACCTGCCCCATTCCTGGAAATCCATTCCAAGTTAAACATAATAACGACAGTAACAACAATATCGCCTACTGAGCCCTTACAAAGCAGCAAATTAAAATGTTAAGTGTTCCTAAGTAAAATGCCAAATATTTTCCTGCATTATTTCTTCAGATTTGTATGGTAATCTTTTTTATACTCATTCATTTATTTATTTACTTACTTGTTTGTGCATGTGTGTGCCTGCAGTGCCACACTGCCTGTGTGGAGGTCAAAAGACAATCTTTGGGAGTGGGTTCTCTCCTTACACATGTGAGTCCCAGGAATCAAACTCAGGTCATTAGGCTTGGCTATAAGCAAGAACTTTAATCCACTGAGCCATCTCACTGGTCCCCGTATGGGAATCTTTTGAGCTAAACCCTACAATTCCC